TGCGGCAATGAAGGAGTGAAAGCCCAGAATCCCTGTGAATGTTCATTGAAACTAATAAAATTTAATAATAATATATATAAATATATAAAACCACAATAAGATACCGTCTCAATCCAGTAGCACTGGCAAAGTCTAATCACACAGCAAGTAATAAATGTTGGAGAGGATGTAGAGAGACAGGAACTCTTTTACACAGTTGGTGGGATTGTAAAACAGTACAATCACTGTGGAAGGCAGTTTGGTGTTTCCTCAGAAAGCTGAACACAGAAATTCGGTATGGCCCATCTATTCTACTGCTTGGAATATAGTCCTAGAAAATGAAAACTGAGGCTCAAACAGAGACTTGTACAACAATGTTCAAAGCAGCATTATTCAGCATCACAAAAACATGGACACAGTCAAACCAAATGGATTGAGAAATTATGGTACATTCACATGATGAAATACTACAGTATGCAGGGACAATTTCATAAATCACTAGTTAACTTGGGAGGGACTGGAAAGCATTATGCTAAGTGAACTCAGTCCCATAAGGACAAATACTGTATAAGACCATTATTTTACAACATGGATAAGGATCTAAGGTGGGAAGGGTGGAAGTGTAGGGATAATGATTGGGGAAGTTGGGTAAGGGGTGGGGGTTAATCTAGGGCTGCACAATTTGATGGGTGGAGGGAGAGGTGGGTAAAGGAAAAGATCGGGTGTGAAAAACAATGTATACAAACGTTTTAAGTAATACAGTATAAAAGAAAAATTTTATTTAAAAAAAGCCAAAACTATGATAAAGGACTACAGGATTTTTTAAAATGACTTATTTCTAGCAACTAATTATTGATTTGTTTGTTTAACAATCCCCTGGGACAATGTGTAGCATGCGCTGATAAGAAATGTGTAGAAAGCTGGCCTCCCTTTCTGCTATTGTGTTTTAGCAGGACAGCGGAGGCCTGCACTCACAGCAGGACCCGCAGGGAAATGCTCTGCGTGCTGTCAGCACTGTGTTTAATAAGCACAAGTACCGCTCCTTTCGTTCCCTGCCAGGATTGTTTTATCTCAAGTCAAAAGAGCAACTATTTGGAGAAACACCAAAACAAGCAGTGAACAATTCAGTGCAGCAAGCTGCTGATCCTAAGCATCATATTGTTAATCCTATTCTAATGATGAAGAATCTATTTGAGAAAATAAAAGCCCTCTCAGCAAGTTTTTAAGTCCAAAATACCTTTATTTGACAGCTCTAACCTGGGGTGGGGGGAATCTTCATTTTAAAGAATGTCGTTTTGAAGCCATACCCACTGGCTCCCCACTCCACTGTCACTGAAAAAGGATGATGGAAACTTCAGTATACCAAATAGAATCAGACACAAGACGCTAGGGGCCTAGCACTATGGGACCTGCCAACCACATCAGAATCTCACCCACTTCAAGAGAAATCTCGCCTAAGACAATTGACCGAGGCTTCATTAACAAACAGCCCTGTTGTTGTTTGCTTTTTTCCCCTGCCGTTCAGAAAATCCAGTTTCTAAAATACTGTGCCTAGAGTGGTGGATATAAGACGTTTAGGAAATAATAAATAAGTATGTCTCAATGGGTCACCTTAGAACCCCTCTTGACTCAATTCATTCTAAACCATGGAATCTGAGGCAAAGCAGTGTCCAAGATAAAACTTAACCCACATTGCTTAGACATGTAGTGAGAAATCATTCAGCAATGGTTCTGACTCTGTGCCTGGAGTAAGCACCAACTCTCATCCCTTTTGGAATCCCTGATCCTGCTTCACCTCAGCTGCTGCTTCTGCATCTGCCTTTGTCCTTGAAATGACACATAAATTCAAGGAACCTCAGAAAGGTGAGAAAGGACTGCTGTCTATTCAAAAATCAGTTAGGTGACCAGGACTGAGAAAAGGGATGTGAACTTAATATGCTGTTTGTCACAAAACCTAGTTACAGAATTTGGTTAATACCGATAGCTCCAAATGCTCCTTAGGGTAACCTTTAATTTTACTAATAGCAATGTTCAGAGACCATGCATGCACATAACCAAAACAACAAGCTGTTCTATGACTTCAGAGAAGAGGAATCACCAAGTTTCTCTAACAGGACAGGGGACCAAGATGGAAGAACAGAGAAGCACTCACAGTATACGCCTGTGAGGATGGAGCTGGGACAGAGACTCAACCTGCCAGACCCCAGTGTAACAATCACTTGAATGTGCACGCCTATTTGCACAAAACCTCTTTTCCAGAGAAAACCTGGCTTCCCACTGAAAAATGTTAAACAAATAGAAGACCTTATCTTGTGTGCTTAACCTAGTAAAGCTCCTGCCAATCTCCCCTTTATGAGACAGTTCCTTTCAAAGGTCAGCTATGAGTCAGTATAACCCAACAATGAGTTGAGTTGACATGAAGATGTGTCCATTAGGCTGCATCTGCAGAAGTGGTCTGTGTTTCATCAGATGGCTTAGAGCAGGGCAAACTTATTTGCCAGTAAACCACCACCAGGGCGCAGCACAAAACAGGAGACCAGGAGAAGAGCCACAAGAGGGCTTACTGTCCTGGACCACCAGGCTGCCATCAGACCTGCAATGCAAAGGCAGGGATAAGGGAGAGAGCCACATGCCCATGATTCTGTGGTTCTCTATCAAACCTGAAAGCCAAGAGGCAAGACAAAGAGGGACATCCACACACTCATGATCCATGGTCCCCTGTCAAACCTAAAAGCCAAGCACTGTGGTGCTTTATGAAGCCCACCAAGCTCTTATGCTCAAAGACCCCAAACTTGATCCAGGGACTGGCCCTTCTTCAGCCTCTCCCTTGGCTCCACGCCCCTCTACCTGCTCACACACCACAGAGGCCTCCAGGTGCTGATTTACTCCCTGGTAATGGGAGTCCCAGGTCTCCTCCCTCTCAGCAAGAAGATAAAGACAGTGATCCAGGACAAGGAATGTGTGCTCACAACCATCCATCCACACATCCCCAGTGGGGCTCGGGTCCCAACTTTATTCCCATTGATCTCCAACTGGGAAATGGAGCCCTTTATGGTAGGCTGTTGATGGGAATGGGGGAAATTATCCCAATCTACATACCCTTTTCTCTCTCTGACCTAGAACATGGTAGCTTCTCAGGAGACGGTGTCATATTCAGAAAAGAGTTTTTAAAACTTAACCCAGCTTCTGACATAAGTGTAAGAAGGTTAACTGTTATTATTGACTGTTGCACAGCAGATGGATAGTAACCCATGAGGAAGCCCTCAATGGCAACCTGAAGACCACCAGCACCAGGGAGACCACCTGGACCACCCAAATCTCATGGTGTATGTTTATCTGCTTGTCAGATAGCATACAAATTGGCATTTCTAAGTGAACTAATTATGACCAAGTTAAAAGAGTCTCCCAAAGAAAGAAGGGAAATCTCTGTAGTCTTCATCAGCCAACTTACAGGCCCTCAGGACATTCTCCAAATCAGACCTTGAGACACACAGGGACAGTCATCCAAGGCCATGTTTTATTACTCAGGCCACCCCAGACATGAGGCAAAAGTTGAAAAAGTTTGCAAAGGACCAGACGTCCTTAATGTGCAGCTGGTGAAGGAAGCCTTTGAGGTCATCAACCACAGGGACCAGGCAAAGGAGGCTGACAGGAAAGGAGGCTGGAGTACAGAGTCCAGCTGTTAGCTGTCCTTATCCACGATCCATCAAAGTCCTCCATGATGGCCGAGCCAGGACAGCCACTACTACTCAGATGACCTGACGGTTCTCGTCAGTGTCACTCATGCTAAGAGAATAAAGAGTGAAGTACTTTATAAACACATTGAACAGATCTGAAAACTAGCGATGCTCACAAAGGTAGCAGCAAAACTTAAAACTCTTTGTAATGAACATACAAAACCCAACAAGAACCATAAATTCCCATAGACTGGGTGATACTAAAGATGTTGCCATCCGCCTGGATAAATGGTAAGAGTCTTCTCCAATAACCTACTGAAACTAAAACTTACAGCAACCAGGCCTGTGTAATGCTCTTGTTTGTTTGAATGTACTCGACTCATTATAGAGTAAGAATAGTTTTATTAAAATTGATCAATGATTATTATGACACATTTTATAAAGTCAATTAAACATTTTGGATTGCTTTCACATTAATACTCAAAATTACCAGTTTTTTAAAGCTAAGTTGGTGTAGTCCACAGGGAGCTGTAATAACTACTGAAAAGGTGATGCCTCTAGTAGTACCAAGGGAGAAAGAAGAACAACTTCCTCCTGTGCCATTTACAGAAACCCAGTAGAGGGATAGCTGTGAGTCAGTCCCAACTCGACAGCAAGGAGTTTGTGTATTATTTCACCCAGTGTCAATAAAAATTCAGGTCCCCCACAATACATCATACAGGAAGTGCTGTTTTAAAATGTTAGTAGTGACGCAAAGCTAGACTTACCTATAGTAATGGCTCGATGGAACTGATGCATGTCTTCTCCTGAAAGCTCCTGCGCCACCTGCAGTATCTTCTGTCTGACACCATCCAGTTTACCTTCTGATTCAGTCAGTATTTCCTCCGTATCAGGAGCACTACAATTGAGGTATTGGGAGCTTTGAGAACAAAGCCATGGCACTATGCAGTTGTACCCTCAAAACTACAATTATAGTTATTAAGTGTACATCAAAATAAGAAATGTAACATAATAGAGTATTAAGTCAAAAACAGCATATACAAAATTTAAGTGTAACACAGTAACAACCATGAGAAAAAAATTAGTGCATTAAGTATAATTCCTGGAGACTTCTGCTTTCTCAGGACAGAATAACACAGGTTGTGCTTATCTCTTTGCCTTAAACAATTAATTACAAAGGGGAAAAAAAGGTCACAAAAAATAGTTTTCATTAATAAAACCAGAAACTGGTCCTTGGGAGGAGGGGAACCCACCATAAAATGGACTGTGTTTAGCTCAAAAACCTCACTCAGCTGACTCGCCATTAGATTTCCAAGACTGTAAATTGCACAACAGGCTACTGCTCATAGGCCCCTGAGAAGCTGCTGATGGAGTGAAACCAACAGACAGGCACAGTCTTTGAGTGAGCAGCACAGCTCTGGATGAACATCAGAGCTCGCTAGAGCCTCCAGCCAGACTGACAATAAAAAGAAAAGATGCAAATAACCAAAATAAAAAGTGAGAGAGAGGCCACTGCAATTGCCTCTACAGAAATAAAGAGAATATAAGGTGCGCCTGACCCAGGCCATAGTCTTCACAATTACTTGCTATGCATTAGAAAGCTGGACAATGACGAACGATAGAAGGAGAATTGACGCCTTTGAGCAATAGTTTTGGAGAAGAGTACTGAATACACCATGGAATGCTAGGACAAAGAAGTTCATCCTGGAGAGGATGAAACCAGCCTGCTACTTGGAGGCAGGGATTCTGAAGCTCCGTGTGACATACTATGGGTCTGTTGCAAGGAGGGACCAATCCTTGGAGAGGGACGTCATGCTTGGGAGGGTAGAGGGGCAGCACAAGAGAAGCGACCCTGGATGAGATGTATTGATTCAGTGACTACACTAATGGGGGTAGGTGCATCAGAGACAATGAGATCAGCTCAAGACAGAGCAGGGTTCAGAGCTGTTGTACATAGGGTTGCTATGAGTCACAAGCAACTTAAGGCACATAAAAACAACAATAACGCACTATTATGAACTGTATACCAACACACAGGGTGAACTAGAGAAAATGCAAACATTTTACAGGCACAGAACTTACCCAAACTGTTTCCCCAAGTTTCAACAGCCCCAAATCATAAGAGATAAAACCAATGATCAAAAACCCCAACAACAAAAACCGTTCTGGACCAGGTGGCTTCACTGGGAAATTCTACTGAATATTGAGAGAAGAAACACTATCAATGCATTTCAAACTCTCACAAAACAAAGAAAAGGAATGAACATCCTCTAATACCTTCTAAGGCAAATGTAACCCCTGATATCAAAGTAAAACAAAGACTGTAAGAATAGGAAACTACAGACCAGTATCACTTAAGATGCAAAAATCCTCAACAATGCTGACAAACAGAATCGAACAGTTCATTACAGAGTCATGTCCCAGGACTAAGTGGGATTTACGGCTGAAAACTTCAATGTTAGGAAATCAACCAACATAAAAAAAGGGGTACGACCACTTCTACAGATGCAGAAACCTTCTTGATGCAACTCTACAGACTGGAACAGAAGGGAAATTCTTCAACATAACTCAGGGCATATATGAAAAGCCAACTGCAGAGTACTGAAGAGCAATGACTTCAGGCTGGAGACTAAGGTGCGCCTGATCTGGGCCATAGTCTTTGCAATTATGTGCTATGCATCAGAGAGTTGGACAGTGAATAGGGTTGATAGAAAGAGAATTGATGCCTTTGAGCTTTGGTGCTGGAGAAGAGTGTTGAAT